TAAACATAATCCTTTCCTTAAGTATGTCACGGAGAACGGTCCTGAACCACCTTCAATAATCTATTGCCGGACCTCACTTCACTTCGCTCACCGGAACGAGGCTGCATTTTTCAAGAATCTTTCCTCCCCGTCGGTCGGCCCATTGCCACTTCGCCTTACTGATCCGTTGTGTTTTATCGGTTACTCTGCTTTTACTACAAATATCCTCATTACAAAATCGAAGCATAGCGATCTTGAGCTTACTCATTATTCAAAATCTGCTAAAACTTCTATAATTAACATTTATAAATTAAAATTGCTAAAAATTACTTTGCCCATATCCGCTCAATAAAATAAATGATGTTTCTTACCTAGTTAGAAGAGCACCTCCCACCCTCCCTCACTTGTGTGCACTACTACCGTCACCACTAATTCCAGCACCACTACACTGGGAAAGACACCACCGACGTGGTCTGGCACTGGTACGACAACTGAGAAATTTCCTTCGGAGTAAGCTTACTTGTATGACTTTTAAGACTTGTAAGACTTTTTTACAATTCGATTTACTTTATAGTGTAGGAGTATTGAGAATTTTCTTCTCCAGTGGTCTTACTTATTTACGTAACGTTACTAAGAACATTGCCAGTAACCTTACATGTTGACTAGTTAGTATGACTATTTGGAATGTACTACATCATGAAGGTTTCCAGTAGTTTTACTGGTAAGATTATTGAGAAGAATATTTCCCAGTAGTTTTCCTAGTGGGGCTACTTGGTAAGCCTACTGAAAATATCCCGAAATTATGATGTTACTTAGACCATTCGATATTAAACCATTTTATATTTATATTTACTTATCATTTTAAGTGTTTTCTTTTTTATTTATTTAAAAAGTGGCTTTAATTTATTAATCTTCAGTATTTTTTTCAATGAAAACTACATGTTAACTACGGTGGATTTAAACAGCAGTATAAAAATATTTTATAATGCGGAATATAACCTACAAACTTTTTATGATCTGTTAATATAAAAATGTCACACGAGGCTTACATTTTTATCATGGTGAAGTACACGAACGAGTAACGTTGGGAAAATTTAAAATTTGCTATCGAAATTCTGAGTCGGTAGTCGCAACAATAAGAGCGCTTACTCAAATTTATTATTTTTTTGTCGCAATAATCATCCCTCCAGACAAGCTGTGCGTGCGATGGTGAATAAATTTAAATCACCATATTCACTATTGAAATTTCCCATTGCAGAGTTTCAGTTGAAAATAAACCAAACAAGTCGATTACATACCGTTTACAAGAATTGGAAATGTTTCAGTCCACTTCATTGCGAATTTTGCGTAAAGACCTCCAGTCACACCCTTAAAAGATAAAATTAACACATTAATTAAAACTACTTTTACGGATTTTATCGCGTTTTATTTATTTTATTTTTAATACCCGACTCTCATATATAGGGTAGACTCCCATATATAGCATACAAAGAGATCAATTAGAACCCGCGTAAAAGAACACATAGCTGACGTGAAACATCAACGTTCCGGGAAATCTGCAGTTTGCGATCATATCCTAGATGGCCCCAACCATTACATTAGATTTGATAGACCACAAATCCTCGTGAAAGAACATCGATTCCTACCAAGGATGATACGTGAGGCTATTGAAATTAAAAAAACATCCTAATTTCAAGTCAGAATCTGATGAACTTGACATCGGCGATTTGTGGTTTTAACAAGATGATGCCACAAGCCACAGAGCTAATCATACAATTGATTTATTGTAAGGAAAATTTGATAATCGTTTAATTTCGAGAAACAGTTCAGTCCAATGGCCATATCGCTATGCAAGTTGACGCTTTTAGATTCTTTCTTATGGGATTACCTTAAGTCGAAGGTTTATGCTAACAATCCAACAACGTTAGAGAAGCTCGGGAACAATATCGAACGCAAATTCGCAATAAATCTTTATTAGTAATTTAATTGTTTTGAAGTTTTATTACTTTGAGGCTAGTTGATTATATTTTAACTACAGTTAAGTTACAGCTAAAACAGTAATGTTATAATATTTTTAAACCAAGGAAAAGTTAACAATTACGCAAACTTAAAAAATTAAAAATACGCGTACGGGATATCATCGGAATAGTCTCGGATAAGATTTGCTGTTGCGTCATGTCATACTTGCGTATGACTCCTACGATGATGTATACAGCTGCCAATAGAACCTCTCAATCTCACTAAAAATATCAATCGTCCCGGAAACGATGCTGCTATAGTCGGTCTTTAGCTTTGACAGTTGGCTCTTTCTGGCAGACAGATCTCTGGCAAAGACTTTGGAGAATGATTTCACATATTTACGCGAACACTACACATGATTAAAACTACTTTTACGGATTTTATCGCGTTTATTTTTGCTTTTAATTACTTTTATTTTTAATTCCCGACGTTTCGGGCGCTTTCCAGCACCCATGGTCACGGGGGACTGAGATGACTGACGTCCCGGATGTCATTGTAAAACCCCGAGTACCTTCAGCTTTTTTAATTATTGTTTATGGTCCGATCTATGCCCTGAAAATGACACTATGTCCTGAGGTCTTGCAGTGGTATGCCTGGGTTTCGTTTTAATTTTATTGATTATAGGATCCCAAGCAGGTGGTAGTACCCAGCCTCCTTCTCTATTGAAATTAGGATGTTTTTTAATTTCAATAGCCTCACGTATCATCCTTGGTAGGAATCGGTGTTCTTTCGCGAGGATTTGTGGTCTATCAAATCTGATGTAATGGTTGGGGCCGTCTAGGATATGATCACAAACTGCAGACTTCCCGGAACGTTGATGCTTCACATCAGCTATATGTTCTTTTACGCGGGTTCTAATTGATCTTTTTGTTTGTCCTATATAAGAGAGACCACATTCACAATCAAGCTTGTACACTCCTGCATCTTGTAGAGGAATATGACACTTGACGGATGGTAGGAACTGACTAATCTTCTTCGGCGGCTTGTAGAATGTTCTAATAGAAGCTCGCTTCAAGATATAGCCAATCTTGTCTGTGACACCTCTGACATATGGTAGTACAGCAGGCACACGCTCGACTGTGGCCGGCATCACTCGGTCACTGTGACGTAGGCGCGGGACCCGAAGCTTGTTGTCGTGCAAAAATTTGCTTGACGTGCTGAAGCTCAGCGGCCAGGTGTTTGCTGTCACAGATCCCTCGTGCTCTCTGTAACAAAGATTTGCCCACGGTAGCTAACTGTGAAGGATGGTGGTGAGATTCACCGTTTAAATATCGGTTTGTATGGGTCTTTTTCCTATACACAGTGTGACCAATGGTGTTATTAGGATTTCGGATGACTAACACATCTAGGAAATGTAAGGAATTATTTGCCTCTAACTCCATAGTAAATTTAATTTTAGAGTTTATGGAATTAAGATGTTCTAAAAATGCAGTTACTTTGTCTGATGGTAAAATTGTGAAAGTATCGTCTACGTACCGCTTGTAGATCCTTGGTGTAACAGGTGCAGTAAGGAGGGCTTTCTCCTCAGTCTTCCATGAATATATCGGCGACAATGGGAGATACAGGTGAGCTCATCGCAACACCATCTACTTGCTTGTAAAACTCTTCCTTCCACAATAGATAGCCAGATGTAAGGCAATGTCTCAGTAATACTGCATATTCTGCTGACATGTTATTTTCCTCTAGTTTCCTAGTTATAATTGAGATGCAGTCTTCAATAGGTAGGCATGTAAATAGAGACTGAACATCAAAACTGACCATGGTTTCATTGTCAGTAAGATGTAGGTCTTTTATTTCACTGACAAAATGGTATGAATCCTTAGTGTGCGCTCTTGTGTGTCCTCTGAGTGGTGATAATATTTTAGCTAAGTATTGAGCCAATCTGTAAGTTGGCGAATTAATCTGACTCACTATTGGACGTAATGGAGCATTCGGTTTGTGTATTTTTGGTAACCCATACAACTTTTGCCATGAAGGTATTATCGAATTAACGTCCAGATTCAATTTCTCGGAGTATTTCTTAATTAGATGGCTAGTTGTTTTAAGCGTATTAGTTGTAGGGTCTGTTTTGACCTTTCGATAAGTAGTTTCATCTGACAAAAGTTGTTGTATTTTAAAATTGTAATCTGACGTATCCATTATAACCGTAGAATTACCTTTATCTGCGCGGAGAATCGTAAGCTCTGGTCTGTTGCGTAAGTTTTTCAACGCGTTAAATTCATTTTTGGGATGATTTAATTTCGGCGCTGAACTTCGACCTAACATAGACGAAATGTCTTGACGTATGGCCTCTAAATCATCATTACCAATATTATTTTTATACAGATAGTCCTCAACACTACAGATAATGTCCTCATACGGTATTTTTCGCGGTGTTATTGCGAAATTTTGCGAGATTTCTCTGTTCAGTTGCCTTTAAGCTGTCAAATCTGTTGAAGACTGGAGGTTGATTTTGCGTCTAAGAGCCATGATATTAACAGCGTGATCGGAGTTTTTGTGTTCTTTTGCGCTGTAGTCTTGCAATAATTAACGATTTTAAAAATAAATGTAAATTACTACGACATAATGAACAAAAAGATATATTAGTATTTGACTTAGTATTCATGTATAAATAATTTTAAAAACTTTAGTGTAGCATTCCTCTCTATATTAAGCACTTAAGCTGCAGTCAGTCAGTTACATTTTAAACACCATACTCCATACAAAGTGACTGACACGGCAATCAAAGGCTTAATGATGAATGAATAAACTAGTAAATTATCTAATTGCATAGACAATGAGTGGTTGCGGTTTTGCGCTTTAATTTTTACTTAGCTCTGGTTTCGCATTATTTAAAATATTGAAAAATAACAGAATTGAAACTAACGGGTAAATTGCATATTATGAGTATGTATGTATGTAGTCAGCCTATATAAGTATTTTTTAAATATTTTTCTAAATATTTTTTTTAATTTATTTAGGATTCTTTATACAAGTTTTTCTATTACAAAACTACTATAGATATGGCGTGGACAAGCTATGCTGTATGTTTTATATTTTTTTTTATTTTCGGAAATGAAGAGAGAGCGTGCACTTAGCCGCCCGAGTTGCCTCAGGATATAGGCCGGACTGAAAACCAGTGCTATCACTCCCTTCACATTCACTTCCCTTCCCCCTCCCTTCCCCTCCCGTCCCTTTCGCAGTTTTACGCTGCCACATGAGTTTTTTTAAGTGCTTTTCTCACATTTTTAATTTTGGTAAATATTTCGTTTTATTTATCTTTTTTGCTTATAATTATTTTTTTATATGTTGTGCTGCATGCTAGAACTAAAATAAACTCATTTCTTTCTTTATTTCTTTCATTGCAAACTTCAAATATAAAAAGGCTACGATAACTAGTTTGCCGTGTATGGCTGCGGAGTAAATTAATCTTTGTTAGATCCCAGAGGTGTAAGAGACTATTATCAGAAACGTCATGAAACGTTTAATGGCTCCATATATGTATGACTGAATAATCATATCGGTTACGTCAGAGCCAATCAAAATATCCAGACCAGCTCCTGCGATTGCGATCATCAATCTGCCTGCCACCGTAACAGTTATGGCAAATCCACCTAACAGGGGGAGAGAGCTATGTTTTGCTGTAAACTTTTAGGTGCTGCTGATAAAAAAGAAGAAGAATAGATGATTCTTTTGACATTCTTGTGTCATTCAGTAATGCGTCAAAATTCTTCAGTCCCTGAACACCTTCAAAGTTAATATCAGCTTCTGCAAGTTGTGTCATTAATTGACACTGCAAAGCTATAAGAATTTTGTTTTAAACATATTTGTGTGACGATGAACATCTAGCCATGCCTGTTTTAAATGACTAACTTTTTTATAGTACTTTTTTGCATTGTATGTGGAACTGGAATCTTACCTTCACTAGCATATTAGTATTAAGAAGAATGAGCAAGTTCCGCGAAGCATTCATTTTTATCATCTTAATAATAATGTTATGAGATAAATACAACAGACGAGATCATAACAGCTACTCAAAAGGTAAACATGCACCGAGGTTATCTGACTATACTAATATTAATGCTTGAAAATGTTTTCCAGTAATCATTTATTTTCCCTCCACTAAACCTATCACAACAGCTACTTCTGCATACAAAAATCAAGTAAGTTAATATTTTTAGTCATTACTACTAACTATTAATGGTTTCTTTGGCTATAATACGAATGGGTCGGATTTACCTTCCCTGTTGGATCCGACCTCAACGTGGTAGAGTAAAGCTGTATTATTGTTGTAACACGAATGGGTCCAATGTTGCCACATGGAATTAGTGAAGGTCTCTAGACTGCCATCAAAAAGTCCCTAGTTATAAGTGAATTTAGTAACAGAAAAGTCTCCAAATGTCGCTAAACATAATCTTATATATAAAAATATATATATATATATATATATATATATATATATATATATATATATATATATATAAAAAAAAAGAAATATATATATATGTATATATATATTGGCCGCTCCCCGGGCAGAACACCCTGCCCGGCGGGAGATCTCCCCTTTTCCTTCATCGGCCACAGTGGTGACCCCGACGTGATCTGAACACGCAACCAACAACCTTCGGAAACTTCAAGCTTCATCATCGTTATAGAGTACCCCACCCATTCGCTCCCGAGCAGATATCGTCTGCAGTCTTTCATATCCTGCAAGCCATCTAGCTTCACAAGGTTCATCGCAGCACTGGAATAATAATGCTTCCTGCTCCTTCAAGCTACTCTCTGGGCTATACAGTGTTCGGCACGGCTCTGAGCCTTACTGCTCGCCTCTGCTTCACGGCACTCTCGCAGATTACTTGCCTTCTTCTCGACTCACCGCAGACTACAAAGCAATCTCCTGGCACTTGCACATTCGTCGGCAACAAGGCTGCATTATCGACCTCCTGTCTGAGCAGGGGGGTGATGTAGCAGCGCTGTCGTCGCGCCACTAGCACACCGAAACACACCGAAGCCTAAATCACGCTATCAACATTCCGAATCATGAACAGTATATATAGAACATCTCCGAACTATCATATGGAGTGTTGGCCGCTCCCCGGGCAGAACAACTTGCCCGGCGGGAGATCTCCCCTTTTCCTTCATCGGCCACAATATATATATATATATATATATATTTCAGTATGGCATGAAAAAAATGTTTTTTGCATCGTCGGTCATCACCGGTTTTAACCATTTAAATCCGTCTTCCCACTCCTTTCTGAATTTTTGACTGCAGGTTTTTTCTTCAGCGGTATATTCATTATAAAATGAATTATAAATCTTGATTAATAATAAATTTAATTAAATAACAATCACTTTTAAATGGAAATAAATAAAATTAGATACACGGGAGATTTAAAAAAAACACTAAACGTACTTCCGCAAGTATTGCGCGCAACAAGACTAAAGTGACAAGAATGAATATTATGAATATAACTATCGAGGAAGTCCCGATCAAAGCAAATAAAACAGATAGGTGTAATCCGACCAAATTAGGAAACAGCTTATTCTCATTTTAAATAAAACTTTTAATAACAATTCTCTATTGTCATAAAAATGATTATTTGACTTTTAGTTGTTTTAGGGTTTATAAGGCGTTTCATTTTTATTTTAAAATTATTTCTCACGTATGTTACGTTGTTATTAATTTTAATTTTGAAAGCAAGAGATTTTTATGAAGTACATGTTATGTGATTTATTTGTAACAGGATTACCTATTACAAATAAATAACATAACATTTTTCCATTAGGAATATTGTTGTGATGTTTTATATGTGTTTGTAAAAGCGATATCCAAAGAACCTTTGTTTCGGTTCCTTTACATTTTATAATTTCGTTAGTGGATAGAGTATATTCCTTACGCCTAAAGTTGTCAGATGGCACCAAAAATTGAAGTATGTACAGATTGTGCAAATGTCGCTAAAAGTCACCAGAATATTTTTTTGTCGCTAAACATTGAATTAAACTCCCTAAACTAACAAAAAAGTCGTTAGATCTAGCGACAAAGTCGCTAAAGTGGCAACACTAACTGGGTCGGCTCAACTACTATAGGACCATGCTCTCATATAGTACCAGCGTAAAATAGCAGCTTAATGCTGCTGTGTTTCGTATGGTTTTTGTAAAGAGCCCTTGTTATTGGAAACGAGGTAATTCTTCTCATTCCTCGGGGGTGACAACGCATTTGCATTTTGATTCTTGATTGGGGATAAAAGTAGATATCTATGGTCCATAGCCTTCATTTAACACCAGGTAGACTTTCAGCTCGTTTATCACACTTATTCTATAAAAAAGGGTTACACTTGCACAGAATACCTACCAGCGTGAAATAGCAGCGTAATGTTGCTATGTTTCGCATGGTGAGTAACGAGAACTCTGGCTGGTGGCGAGGCAGTCCACCTTAGTCCTCAGGGGGGGGGGCCTTATTTTGATGTATCATGGTCGTACAGCCCCCCTGATAGCTGATATACTATCCTTTTTTTGTGCGAGCAGCTTTGCAAATCTTGCAAGAACAGTAACACTGTGACTAGTATGATCCTTTCTGATTGTAATTGTTTCAACTTTAGTTTGTTTTCTTGAGTATCATTTACCCGTTATATGTATTTTTATTACGTTCATTTTAATAATATTGCAACTTTCTGTTATTAAAACATTAAAAAAAAATAATATTAAATAATGAGATTCTATTTAGAAACAACAATAACTTTAGTTAAGTTTGAAAGTTAAAGGGCACTTATTATTTACGAGTACCAAGTACCTTCTAACAAAGTAAATGCAAACAAAGAAATACAATTGTAATAGCAAAGTTTATGATTTTTCTATATAAATTATATGCTCTATTACATATTGGCTATCACAAATTTTTATAAATTTATACAAATATACGGTAAATAATTCACTTATTTTTTTTTGTAACACTAAAATGAAATTAATAAACAATTACTGTGTACTGACTGGTTAAAAAGTACTTTAAGTTAATAACCATAATAATAATTTTTTTTTATATAGAAGAGGGGGCAAACGAGCATGCGGCTCACCTGATGTTAAGTGACTACCATTGCCCATGATCAACCGCAACACCAGGGGAATTGCAGGTGCGTTGCCGGCCCTTTACAAAAGAGTAAACTTTTTTCTTGAAGGTCCCCGGGTCGTATCGGTCCGGAATAATAATTATTAACGTTTCAGAATGAGGAGTGTTTTCATCTTAGCTATCCTTGCCTGCGTCTTGGCCCTGGCATACGGTGACCTTGTTTGTGGCAGAAAATACTGCGAGCAACATCCATGCACGGCAACTCAACCCGCACCCACCAGCTGCAGGTCACCCTCAATCTATCGCGCTAAGCACGCTGGCAAATGCGCCTGCTGTCCGGCTTGTGTGACCTTACTAGGTATGTTTCACAAGTTAATAGTAATTTGGAGAAAACATTAGTGATTGGTGCTTCTTCTCATCCAACCCTTCATCCGAATTTACCGCATCAAGGTGTTTTGTATACATACAATTATGTCACCAAAGAGTATCTGACCCATGCTTTGTATATGGCACTTTATTAAGCGATACGCAGGAGATGGGCATCACTGTCTCCTGAATAACTGCTATAAACCGCCAAAACGCCTGCCAAGCGTGGCAAATATAGCAAGTAACCCACTTGTATGACAATCAATGTTTAGTCTTATATCAATGTAATCAGTGAACTTTGATAGCCTGATAATCAGAATAAACGAAAGGACGGGAGTTTCAAAGGAGTGTTCAACGCACGTATACAAGCTTAAGGTTCACCTTTAGTAACGAACAGCAAAACTAACGCGATATTTAGTACTGCAGAATCGGGCTACCTCCGCTCGCGTATTCGCCATGTCGGGTCATTTGCGCGAACAGCCGATGTTATATTTATGTAAATCGTTAGGTAGTATGTCAATCGATAGAAAACAAGTTATAAAAAATATTGCTTGCGGTTGTGAAAATCACGTGAAAATAATAACTTTTAATAAACAGTAAACGATGACTTTAAAGGACTATCTAGGGACCGTGCTCATGCCCGGGATAAATATAGTTATTCCAATCTTAGGCCCAAAATCTCTGCAAAATATTATACCGCTCCGTTGCCCCGTTGCTGCATGAAATGACAAACAAACAAACACACTTTCGCATTTATATAATAGGGATTATTGTACTTTTGTTAAAATCTTATACGTGAAAAGTATCTTGCATAATTTTATGAATATTCACAAACATGTATAAAATTTAATAAAGACCTACATAGACAAATGTCACCCAGAAGTATAGGCAGAGACTACGGACTTCCATTTGATACGATTCTGACACTCCTCTCTCGCTTCCATTACATACATATACCTACGCATACATGCACGTAATAAAAATTTGTATATAAAATTAACACAAAAAAGAAACCGCAAAAAATAAGGCGCTGGTTACGGTCGACGATTGAATCTGAATACTGGTGGCTGCGGTGGTGCAGCGAGGTCAGCAACTTAATTTTCCGCTGTCGTTAACGATATAAAAAACTATTCGTATTAATGAAATTAACATTAGGTCACTTGACGTACCATTGAGATATGTCATTTCTATTCATTTGTATAGCTCTTTACTGCCATTTGCGATTGTAGAAAGTCCACTTGCTAACCCCGCTGACCCTCCTTCTCGGGGTTTACCGGTGGCTCTTCTGGAAATCAATGTTCGTGGCTTGTTCAGAAACGTATATCTTTATTTCATATAGATTATTAATTATGTTTGTTTGCGCAAATTACTTTTTTAATCAAATATTATAAAAAATTTCAGCTGAAGGAGCGGCTTGCAAGACCTACAGCAAAGAGCTTGGAGAGACACCATCCGCAATCTGCCGCGAGCCACTCACTTGCTTGAAAGGTGTTTGTACCAGAGTTCCTCCCCGTACTTAAATAATTAAAGGCAATAAGAATTTTACTTTTAAAAAGACTTTTGGTATCGATAAAACTTATAAAAAAATTACGTTCCTAATAGGAAACATCAATGTATAAATAAAAAATAATATTTCGTTTCATTAAAACAAAACGTTTTAAAAGAACGTCTTTTATTTATTCTCTATAATATCATGAAATCGTTAAAATGTTACAATTAGGAGTACATTTCGCTTATACTTATCGACGTTTATTCCATTTTAGTTCAAATATGTTGCTAAATCTGAAGTTGATTTAACAACAAAATTTATATAAGTCAGTTGCAATTAATCGCGCTAGTACCTATTTAGTTTTCCCAGCAATAAACAAGTACTAAGCAGCAGTGTTCAACTGCAGGTGAGACTAGCTAATAAGGGGATTCTCTCCGGTAAAATTAATGTTTGTTCACTTGAAACACCCACCTTTGCATTTACATTTGATATATTCCTCCTAAAAAAAAGTGAAATAAACTACATAATTTAAACATCATTGCCAACACTACTGTTATATAATATGTATGTATATAAATAACAAAACGTGTAAGCAAATAGTTTTTATTAGCCATTTAGAAAATAAAAGGTATTCGAATTTCTGACTAAGATTATGATACTTTTGTCCAGTTACAATCCATTTACCACGTGTTCGTGGTGAAGGAAAACATCGTGAGGAAACACGCATGTCTGAGGAATAAGAAAAAAAAAAAGAAAAACGCGACAAAAACCAAAGGCACAGGAAGGTTTTATAAAAAATTAAATAAACCCAACACGAAAATACTTATAAATATATTGCCTTAAGTTACGGTCCATTTCAGTTTGTTTTGACTGTACAGATTTAGTGTGACTGTAATTTACATAGTTTTAATTATTTTTGGGATAAAAAATTACCTATATTAAAAATGATAGGAATCGATTCAGTAAACGATTCTGAACATTAACGTTACTACGTTGATTTTATATTCTTCAGTTACGAACAATAATAATTTTGTCAATTATAATTAAAACCATCCATCGCGCAGATAAAACGCAGGTGGTAAAACTGGGTAAGAGTCATAATAAATCAATGTTTTCATGGTTTGTCCGCTTAATGCGTTGTCCATGTACACACTGGAGCATGAAAGCACGTCGTTCACAGCTTTACGTTACAGTCGCAGGCAGCACAGGAATGATAAAAACTCATAAACATTTTATGGCTTCACTCTATAGCTTTTACAGCGCCGGACTTACCCAAACTTATAACCAATGAAAGAGCAGGTGAATATACTATCAATTATTTTATTAAACTTATATTTTATTTCACCTGATAAGATCCTTTTGCTGATATAACCCCAAGCGGAGGAATATGCAAACTTCACACGTCATCAAAATATTTTCTTCTTAGACATGCAGTCTAGTAGCAGTAGCTTTACGTGCTGACCCTAGATTCAAACCCAGAACTTCATAATCGGCAGTCTTTACGACAGCTAGGCTAATGAAGTAGTCAAATTATAAAGAAAAATATATTGTAAAAATTATATTATTACTAAAAACATATGGAAATTATTACATCAAGGTTATTGCAACAGCTAAACATCTTAATAGACTACGCCTATATAAATAGGAAAACAAAGAAGTAACAAAAAGAGATCGTAATCGTACGTTGCAAGGTTATTTCAAGGTATTTGTGTTTGTATATTCGACACATAATAATTAGCAAATAATTGCATGAATTAAAAATAATTATTTTGGGGTTTTAATGTGCAATTTAAATCTTCGAAATGCATGACACAAAATAAATTCTTACATATTTTTAACTCTTATAGATAATTTAAACTATCATAAAAGATAATGAAATAAGAAGAATGAGAAGAAAATGAATCAATGTGCCCCGTTTACCCGATCTTTTTTTTAATTCTCTATACACATGCGGCCTTACAGATCCCAATTGATAGTGAAACACTTGTAAGATATTTTTTTAAACAGGGGCAAATAAGCATACAGCTTGCCTGAAGGTGTGACTACCGCCACCCATAAAAAACTGCAACAGCAGGGGATTTTCAGGTGCGTTACCGGCTTTTAGAAAGGTTCTTAAAGGTCCCTAATTCGTATCCGTCCGGAAAAATCGTCGGTGATAAACGATTCCACAGAGGGGTTGTACAAGGAAAAAACTCCTAGTAAAAAGTACAGTGGTGAACCAAGCATCTAAATGGTATGGATATTTAAAAACCATCACAAATCTACAACAATAACTGTAATAGAAAGAACTTTTTATACCCTATTCCTTCCCACATACTAATTCGTTAAGTATAGAATATCCACAGTTCACAGACAGCTTACGTTATTATTATGCTATAAAAATCAACAAAACAGAACAAAAATGCTGTGCGACGGGTCTGACTGTTGCTGGCCTACGATATTAACATACTACATTCCATATTACCGTTACCGACAATCTTTATTTATGCCTTTCTTGTGGCTCTTCCAACAATTTAACGTTCCAGTAATTTAACATACGAATAGAAAAATATCAGATTTGACGGCTCTGCGGCACTGTGGCTTAGCTAGCTTTAGCTTAGGCTTGGTTGGAACCGCACGGAAATTTGTATGGCCTACAAATAATTGTTCAGGGTATATTTATTTATACTTGTGCAATTAATGCGTGTTAAATTAGTGATCAAAGTGTTATACAGCGTTATATACTGCAATCTCAACTATTTCAATTGAAATAAGAGTTTTTTGTTGCAAAAATTATCTATTTTGTGATTTTAGATAAAAAATTCAAAAACATTCCACTCGCACCAAGCAGCGTAGCTAGCCAAATGAAGTTTTGTTATATACGTTATAATAAACTAGAATATTATAGTAACATATTTGAATTAAAAAGTCGAATATTTTGTTAATATGCAAGTGTTGAGTTGACTGTAGCATGTTGTGTTATATGTATGTACATGCATGTTTATGCTGCAAATGAGTTGCTACGAAGAGCTACGTTTCGCAATATGTTACTATCACAGCGATGTTTAGTGAGAAATTCGCTAAAGCTTTCGCAATACAAACCGTTAATGCCAAAGGTCGCGCTCTCGGCACTCCTTGTTACGTCGTTCCATTTATTCGCTTTCCTTCTACTCCGTGAATATTTCAAAAGCCATTGTTAATAAGTCGCTTTACGATTCAATACGTTTGTAATATATATATATATATATATATATATCCTTATTCATCTCTTTTATTGGCATAGGAAAGGTAATCACATAGTATTTTACTAGGTGTCATAAAAAATACGAAAAAAATGTAGGCAACATTGTCGATCAATAAAATTTACGATGATAAACAGTTGTAAAGAAATCATAAAAATATATCGCCAATTACATCTGACACTTTTTTTGTAAACTTACAGTAATTGTTTTCATGTTATCTACTTAAATATATCAGTTTTCAACGTGTCAAATTATCCATATTATATTGAAAAAGTACGGTCTCAATTTTTCACCGGAAGGCCCAGCATGTCGAACAACTCAATTGTCCGTAAACCCTGCCCAGAACCCACTCTATTGCATAGCTCAAGAAGTCCTCGCACACCTTATTGATTGCGCAACTCAAGCGATCGTTCGCAAACCTACTAGCGACCTAATAGTAATATATCGTCCAACTCAGGTAGTTACCCACATACCTTATCAGGTGACCCACCTTGTTGTATAACTCATACAAGCGTGTTTAAATACATCTTTGTACTATTATTTATTGTATGATATAACTATGCTTAAGGGTGGATTGAGGCATTCTAATATTTTATCTGTTACATATATAGCGTATCAAGTAGGAGACTGTGAACTAATGAAATACAAATTCCGAAAGAAGATGAAAGAGATAGGGAGATAAGTATAGATTAAATAACGAAAGCAATGAAAAGCATGAAAGTAGGTAAGGCAGCCGGATATGATAGAGTTTCACTCGAAATGCTAAGGACTGGAGAGGAAGTGGTGGCAGGTCTGCTGTACACCTTGTTTAATTTATGTTGGGAACTAAATCGGGTACTGGGAGACTGGTGCAAAGCCGTGATAGTCCCAATATACAGGGTCATTTTTAATTTACTGAAGACTTTTGGGGAATACATTATTTACAACATAACAACAACATCTGTAAAAAAAAAATATTTCTTCAATTTTTATTTTCATACAAAAATAAAAATATTTTAATTGGACCTTCTAAACGGTAATAGTCCTAGTTAGCAATAAAAAAGCGCGTGGCGAGGGAGGTGTGGAGGGGTGTAGGAGGCGACGATACTCATTTAAACTTGACCTAATTAATAACCTGTGTCGTCAGTCGCCTTTGATGCGCCCGCGACGCTTGTCTTTTCGTTGTTAGATTATTGTGACTGTTACCTTGTTACGATGGCTTACCGATACTCAAATGTTGAGTATACCGAAATGGTGCGAATTTTAGCAATTTGCAATGATAATGTTAGTGAAGCCTGCCGTGAATACTCAAGGCGATTTCCCAACTCACGTGCACCGAGCAACGCTACGATGCTAGGCGCTACACAGCGATTGCGAGATTACGGGCAATTCCAACCTGTATCTATCGATCGTGGTCGTCCACCGCGGCGCACAGTACGTTAGCAGGAAGACATACTGCAGTTTTTTGAAGAAAATCCAGCAGCGAGCACTTATGAAGCAGCCCGACAGTTCAATGTTTTACAATATTACGCATAGAGTGTCATACACAATGAAGGGAAGTATTCCTTTCACCTGCACCGTGTTCATGAACTCAGCGAAGCTGACAAACCTGCGCGAGTAACATTTTGTAATTGGTTACAAGGAATAGGGCTATTTAATACGCACAATGAACACTTGTGGTGCTATAAAAATTCACATGAACCAAGACCACATAGTTTTCAACACCGGTTTAGTGTCAATGTGTGGGCAGGCGTTATTAATACAACGTTACTGGGCCCTGTTTTCATAGAAAGATTAAATGGTGAAAGCTATCAAAATTTTCTCACCGACACGCTGCCAGAATTGTTAGAGAGTATACCACTTGCATCTCTACGCAATATTTATTATCAACTTGACGGGGAACCAGTGGCGAAGCTTCAATTAAAGCCGAAAAGCCGGGCTTGCCTTATTAAACCTGAATCAATCAATAATATCAACTAATAAAATAACTCGTAAAGTGTTTCAAGCTATTTCAAATTTCCCGCGCACTCCACTGTTCGACACATGCCCTGTCTTGCCTTAGCCATACTGCTGCTGTCATAAAAAATGAGTTTTAATAGAGCTAATAGTTGTCTCTCTCGCTCGCGTGGGCTTTTTACGGGGCTTTTTCGAGAAGACGATCGCTCTCTTTCTAACCATCAAAATATTCTATAATAAAATATAACACGATTGTATATATAGCAATTAGTATAGAGATTTAAAGCCAGGCTTTTGGGAATAAATTTGTTAAAAGCGGAGGCGCGCGGTCAATACGTTTGCAAGTTCATTTCAAGTTTCAATATTTATTTACTCTGTGTGCTTATCTTAAGCGATTTAAAAGAATATTACGAGTTCAAAATTTATGCTTTTTTAAAGATTTTTAATGAAAATGGAGGATAATAGTGATGAATTGAAGTGTGTTAAAGTGATAATCGGAGAGGAAATCTTTAAACTTTGTTGAGATAATACACAAGGTAAAGAGTGTATTTCAGACTTATCAATTATCGCAATTAAAAACAGTT